AGCCACTGTTGGGAACGAGTTGTTGATGAAACCTCAAAAGAAAACATTAACTAAGCATTAGACATGTCAGTGGGTTGAGTGTGGTAGTATTTAGTGATGGGACTGTCCACTGATATGTTTGCAGGTCTTGTATACATTCAGCTTTTCCCATAGCTGTTACTATCTTCCAGATTTCCTGTTAACCTCTTAGTCCTCAGAGTAATTGTGACCTATAGTTGATAACTGATTTATTTACACTGATGTTATAAAATTACATCATGTTATTTTATAACATGATGTAATGGTAATGAAACTAAAGTCCTTCAATGGATGGCTTGTTCAGCTTCAAATCTTGTAATTATTATCAATTATTTGTTGTCAAGTGACATCTCTATTTCCTGGACAGCCACCCACAAACTAATAATACAAAGGGAAAAGACTCAAATGTGGATTGTCATATTTACTTTTTAAAGTTTAAAACACCTAGCTAAAGCAAAATACAGACTTTAGCTTGCTTACTGCCTTGCTTCCTTAGGTTTCCCCCCGCAAAGTATGCATTGCATGATGGGATGCTTAACATGATGCTCACTTAGGACAAATTTGGAGTACACTGTTTAAAGCTGCGCGTGGAAATGAGGGAAGGAGTATTTGTACAAGTGCTTTCTCAACTTGAAACTATTCACATTACGGCATTTCTGTCGGTGTAAAACTAAATATGATGTTTGTAAAAGTCTTCAAGCTCACTCTCATTGCTCTGGTGTGTGTTTTACAGTCTCATTTCATCAGACCTTTCCCGCATGACAGACAATGACCGTGACCAGATCGACCAGGATGCTCAGATCTTTATGAGAACCTGCTCTGAAGCCATCAAGCAGCTACGCAATGAAGGTGTGTCTTTTATTTCTGTGCAACAAATCAACTTAAATGGAAATTTAAACATAACATATCTGGAAATGCTGATATGGTCTTGTTCATACTGCGTGCTTTCCAAGTCAGGAAGTCTTGACTGTAAATGTATTATTGTTGTCATCTCAGCTGAAAAACAGGTGATGTCAGCTCAGATAAAGGAGCACAGGGGAGCGGTGCTAGACCTCATTGAAACATACCTAAAAGGTGAGTTTGTAGCTAATTACTGAACTTCTAGTGAGTCCTCTGTTACCTGTTTTAATACTTCATAATTCTTTCATAATGCATCTGACACAATTTGATCATACCTTGCATCTTTGGTTTTAAGGTGTATGCAAGCTGTACTCTGAGCAGAGAGCAATTAGAGTCAAGAGAATGGTGGACAAGAAAAGGCTGTGAGTATTTGCATTCCTCACTGACCTGTTGTCACTCGTCATTTTTAAACTGCTTGTGATTCATGTAATATTGTGTTCTGTGGTCACAGATCAAGACTGGTACCAGAGCATCACGGTCCAGTGGAGAAAAAAGTGGAAGTGGAGCCCACAGAGGAGGACACCGTTAAGGAGGGAAGTTCTGGTAAGTCAACATGCAAAGCCTGTCACGACAAGCCCTACTGCATTTTATTAGAACTTACCTGACTCCAAATTATGCTTTCTTCTTCTACTTTTTTGTGATCTCATATATTTCAGCTTTTTTTAAAACATATATAATATATATATAATGTCATGGTGTCTTATCACAGTGTCATTGCACATGATGATGATGATGATGATTCTTTGTGATCTCAGTTAAGATTGAAAGTTAAGTATGAGTATTATTCATATCATCATCCATAGCCAACATTGGCAGACAGGAAGCAATATGTAGCACTATTTGGATCAGTTAATTGTATTAAATGTTATAATTAGGGATGGGTATCGTTTAGGTTTTATCCGATACCGGTGTCAAACCAGTACTTTCGAAACAGTGCCGGTGCTTAAACGGTGCTCAAACCGGTGCTTAAAGAATGGAGAACACA